TTTCTTTTTTTTTTTAATATATTTTTTTCATTTTTTTGAAATCCTGTAGAGAAGACCCTGCGGACACATCTTTGTGTTTGCAACTTTCTGAATTACATTGCAAAACTGTGCATACAGAATCTGAGAAATAAATACATTCATTACTGCACATACATATTGATACAAAAACAACACTGTCAAATAGTGTTTGCACCATCTTTGTTAGATATTAAGACCAGGCAAAATTAATATTTCATTTTCCATCAGCCCCCCCTCAAATGTTTGAGGTGGCTTTGGTGTAGAAGGTAAAAGCTACAAAGGGTCAAGACTAATGATGGGGAGCTTTCTTAAACCTTTTTATTTTTGGCTTCAGCGTTATTTTAGCAAACCATCCTCATTGGTCATCTTTAAACTACCATGCAGATCGGCTTGTGTTTCCACCTAGGCAGCCTCAGGAGTTTTGGTTGGGCTCTTTGTGCAGGACTGTAAGGTCTGGAGTGAATCAATCCAGCAGTTCCACTAAGGGCCCAGAGGACCCGGAGAGCCCGGCCCGGCTCGGTGCCCGCGGAGGGCAGGGCCGGCAGCGGGCTGCGCTCTGCCGCGGCCGCAAAGCCTCACAGAAGCTGCGTGTCAAGAGCTCTTTGGTGTCTTCTGTGAGCTTTGTGGCCCCTGCTAACAGCCCCAAGTGCACAGAGCTGGGCCTTTGGGGATTTTTTGCCAGGAATTTGTTTTTGGAAGTTTTGCAGTAAAGGACTGGAAAACAGCCCGGCTCCCCATGGCTAAAGTTCAGGAGATGTGCTGGGTACAGCGGCTCCCAACATCTTCTAACATCCTTTCTTGTCTCTAGAGCTTCTTGCATCTCCCTTTGCCCTCTTGGTTCCCTCAGACTCCTCTGAAGAAGAGGGAGGCCGAAATGCCTCTACAATAGTGCCTGGGTCTCACTCCCAGCAACATCTCTCATGGATTGAAGAAAAAAAAAAGTTCTACATGCCATGTTTGTAATTGCCCACCCTGTCCCCACCCTCCCGGAGCAGTGCTGGAATGCAGGCTGGGACACAGATTCCCCCTCCCAAACTGGGGAACACTGTGTGGCCTTCAGAGACAAACCAATGGAAAAAGCAAAGATTAATTTTGACTGGCCCCTAGATCTGTTGAGGTCTGAAACTGTAAAAGTTTATGTAAACAATGAGATAAATATATTAGTACTTTTCTGAGCCAAGTGAGGTTCCATACTCATTCAAATGTGCTTTGGTTTAAAAAATAGTTTTGTGAATTTGGGTATGAGCTTCTTATTCTTTTATACAACTTTTGCTATTTTATCTTTTTTTCCTGTTATTCCGAAAACATTCTGGAACTAAGTGACTAAAGCATATACTTAAGCTGCCTGGCCTCTTTTTTTTTTTTCTTTTTTTTTTTTTTTTTTAGGTTGATTGGCCTTTTTTTTTTTTTTTTTTTTTTTTTTTTTTTTTTTTTGTTTCCTTTTAAACTGGTTTTTTCCTCTTGAGGCTCTTTGTGTATTTAAAAAAAAAATTCAAAATAAAATTAAAAAAAACCAAAAACGCAGCTCCCTCCCCCCCACCCTAAAACTCTTAAAATCTTAAATATGAAACTAGTGTTTTGCTTTCTCATTAAAATACAGAAAAATGTTGATACAATACTATGTCGTACAAATGCAGTTGAGTGTTTAGGCCCCAAGCAGGCCTGAAACAGTCCCTGAAGTTTTGAGTATTATTAGTTATTCATTATTACTGTCACAATTTGGAAAACGTTGTTTATACTCAGTCTATGGAACACAACTTTACACAGCTATTTGAAAAAAGAACATAATTTCCTTTTGTACAATACTCTTGCTGTACACAGACTTTATGTCGTACTGTTTAAGTGCTGGGGAGGGGATTTAAAAAAAAAAAAAAAAAAAAAAAAAAAAAAAAAGCTCCAAAAAATAGTTTTTAAAAAATAGCATTGGGTCCTGAAAGTTCAACATAATTCTCAAGGCTTAAGAAACAAATGAAGAGGGGGCCTGGGGCAGGGGGAGAAGCTACATCACCCACACGCATGTAAAAATGGAATTCAGAGAGGGGGAGCAGGGCTTTGCCTGCTGAGGAGCTCCGTGCCCGGGCTCGGCTCCCTCGGTCCCAGGGGGACTCCGGCAGCTCCGGCCTGCCGTCCCCAGCGCCACGGCAGGGGCAGAGCCGCGTCCGAGCCCGCAGCACGGCCAGGGCCCGGCCCGGCCCAGCGAGCCAAACCCGGCCTTGGAAGTGGGCCCTTGGCGGGCTCCGCTCCGCCGTGCCTGGCTGCAGGGGGGCTAAAGGCTGAAGTGCCGAGGAACTCCTCTGGCACAGCTGTGCCTGGGCTCTGCTCAGATTCCCTCTGAGAGCAAGGTAGATGGCACGGCCTTCCCTGTCCTTCCCAAAGACTATTTTGGGAACATTCTCGGCGGCGGGGTGGGGGGGCGTTGACATAGAATCAAGGAGAAAATAATTCAATATATATTCAAAAATGTGGAAGTGCTAATGACGCTAAAAGCCCATTAACCCCCGAAAAGAAAACAGCGCGTCTCAGCACAATTCGACAAGACCAAAAGTCCGTGCGCCCCTCCCGCGCTCCAGTCTGGGAGCACGCGGACAATGGCACCGGGAGAAGCACACGGGAGGGAGCGGCTGGAGAGGGGCGAGTGTTCCCTGTAACGTGACACCAGGCCAAGGCTCAGCGCCTCTGGGTTGTCTATTGCTTGGAGCCTGGATTCCAGTTTCCTCAGCTCAGTCAATTGACCCAAAAACTTCTCATGGACTAGTCTACCTTAACAAAAAAACCCAAATAACAAAAAACGAAACAAAACAAAAACCAAGCAAAAAAAAAACCCCAATAGAAAATGAAGCTTATATTTCTTTGTTTTAGTCAAACATGATCACTTTTTTCTTTTTTTTTCTTTTTTTTTTTTCTTTTTTGGTCAAAACTTTAAAAAATTGTTCGTTTTGTTGTTTTTTTTTTTAAAAAAAAAAAAAGACAAAACGTGAGGTTTGGTAAAACTTACGCATAGAGACTATACTGGTTTGAGTGGAAAAAGAAAAAACAAAAAACAAAACACCAAAAACCAACAAATGAAAAAATGCAAGTGTAAACCTTAGTCATTTCAGAAGGGATGATTCTACTGGCTGTGAATTTTTACCACCACAGTCACGGGAGGCTTGAAATAAGCCATAGCTTTCCACAAGGTCACGCCAACAAAGTCAAGGGGGCCAAGAATCGGTGGGCAAAGTTCTCTGTCTTCTCTCCTAAACCAATAGCAGCTGTTGGCTGTGATGTCTTAGGCAGATGTTGCAAGAACATTTTGTTTCTTTTTCATTTTTTCTTTTTTTTTTCCTTTTTTTTTTTTTTTTGTGTGCGTGTGTTAAATTGTCTAAAAGGGAGGATATGAAACACTTTGGTTTGCTTTCTCCTCCTCTCCCCCACCTTATTGCACTCTGGATTCTAGTAAATTATAGGCTGCTATGCCCTCACCCTCTGTCCTGCCAGGTGTTTACAGACTGACCCAGATGTGCTGGGGGAGTGGAAGATGAGGGGGACATTTTCCCCTCCCCATAGTATCCAGACTCAATAAACAAAGCTGGAAAGGGCCCAGAAAGCTCAGAGAAGTTTTCTGCTTTTATCTAAAAGTGACTATAGACAGCCAAGAGACTGCGAATTGAGCCAGTCCAAGCAGCCAGCACAGCCTCTAGCTCAGTGTATTTTTTGCTTTGTCTTTGGCCAAGCTTTGCTTTAACATTTCTCTAGTTGACTTTTGATGGAAGGACGGGGTGGTAAAAATCCCTTAACTTTAATTTAGCTTCTACTTTTATACATTTAATTACTTACAATTAAAAAAAAATGCCTAATCTTTCACTAACCATCTTATTGTTCTCATGAATTCAAGAGGTAGCAAAGGTAACAAGTCTGTCCACACAGACTTGCTCTTTAGTGAGGGAGGAAAGCTAAAAACATACACACACACAAAAAATAAAATAAAAAAATAATAAAAAAGTACCTATGGAACTTGTAGCAAGTCCAGCCTACATCAAACCCCCTCCCCACCCACCCACCCTAGAATTAACCTCCGACCTTCCAGTTCAAACATTCACATAAACGTTACAATGGTTTTTCCTTTAATAAAACAAGTACCTCTAAGCAAAGAATATTCATACGAAACTACTAGAAAAGTAAAGACGACCCCCTGCTCACTGAAGGAAATTCCCAGGGCATCCAGTCCCTGTTCAGTCATGGGTAAGGCAAAAGAGGTTTGCGTGTTTTATGGGAGAAGGTGGCACATGGTTATGTGTGCCAAGGACAAAGATCAAAACCAAAATGGGGAGGGATGGTAAGGGAGGCTTCGCCATTTGTTGAAATGAAGTACTGGGACTGGTGCAGCCCTGGGAGCTGCTCCCCACACCATCGCCAGCCCAGCAGATAGGGCTGGGCTCCACCACCGCTGTGGCTTTCCCACAGTCTCTGGAGGGGCTGCCAGCCCTGTGAGATGGTCCACAGACACAGCTTCTGCACTTGAGAATGCTGTTATTTCACAGCTACTTAGGCCACTGACAGCCAGCACAGCCTCTAGCTCAGTGTATTTTTTGCTTTGTCTTTGGCCAAGCTTTGCTTTAACATTTCTCTAGTTGACTTTTGATGGAAGGACGGGGTGGTAAAAATCCCTTAACTTTAATTTAGCTTCTACTTTTATACATTTAATTACTTACAATTAAAAAAAAATGCCTAATCTTTCACTAACCATCTTATTGTTCTCATGAATTCAAGAGGTAGCAAAGGTAACAAGTCTGTCCACACAGACTTGCTCTTTAGTGAGGGAGGAAAGCTAAAAACATACACACACACAAAAAATAAAATAAAAAAATAATAAAAAAGTACCTATGGAACTTGTAGCAAGTCCAGCCTACATCAAACCCCCTCCCCACCCACCCACCCTAGAATTAACCTCCGACCTTCCAGTTCAAACATTCACATAAACGTTACAATGGTTTTTCCTTTAATAAAACAAGTACCTCTAAGCAAAGAATATTCATACGAAACTACTAGAAAAGTAAAGACGACCCCCTGCTCACTGAAGGAAATTCCCAGGGCATCCAGTCCCTGTTCAGTCATGGGTAAGGCAAAAGAGGTTTGCGTGTTTTATGGGAGAAGGTGGCACATGGTTATGTGTGCCAAGGACAAAGATCAAAACCAAAATGGGGAGGGATGGTAAGGGAGGCTTCGCCATTTGTTGAAATGAAGTACTGGGACTGGTGCAGCCCTGGGAGCTGCTCCCCACACCATCGCCAGCCCAGCAGATAGGGCTGGGCTCCACCACCGCTGTGGCTTTCCCACAGTCTCTGGAGGGGCTGCCAGCCCTGTGAGATGGTCCACAGACACAGCTTCTGCACTTGAGAATGCTGTTATTTCACAGCTACTTAGGCCACTGAAAAGGTGTATTTTGTTGGTTTTTTTTTAATGGCAAGAAATACCCCTACTGAGTTTGGTTTTAGGAGAAGAGGTGAGTACAATGACAGGAACACAAAAAGAGGCAGGGAGGGGGGAGCCAGCAGAGGCTGAAAGTTCCCCAAGATCCCCTTACCTGCTCCAGATAAACAATATGGCAATGAAGTCAATGTGTGCAAAAAGAAGAGGCATTTCTTGCCAGGTCATCAAAATTTGAAGGGAGACTGGGACTAAATGCATCAGCTTGGCTGTGGACCTTTCTTTTTTTAAAAAAAGGAAAAAAAATGAACTTTTTTTTTTAAATGTTAAAGCTACATTTGTTTAGGCCTCTCATGACTGAACAGAGTATGGGGAGTTGCCCCCTTTTTTGTTTGTTTTTTTTTTTTCTTTTTTCTTTTTTTTTAAGCAGCAAGTCTACAGAAAGGTAAATCACTGCGGATGGGCTTGAAGCTCATTCTGGAGTCTTTGGCTTATGTGGGAGAGGTATGCATTCGCAGGTGGCTGATCAGATTGCGCTGCTGGGTGAATTTCCCACCACACAGTTGACATTCGTAAGGTTTTTCTCCTGAGTGGACACGCATATGCTCTGTTAGTCGGTACTGCCGGGTAAAGCGCATCCCACATTCCTCGCAAGCAAAGGGCTTGAGCCCCAGGTGGCTGCGCATGTGCCGTGTCATGGTGCCACGCTGTGTGAACATCTTGCCGCAGATGTTGCAAGGGAAGGGCCGCGTCAGCCAGTGAGTCTTCTCGTGCTGCCGCAGTGTGGCTGGATCCTTGTAGCTCTTCTCACACACTGAACACTTGAAGGGCCGGGACTCCGCAGCGTAGGACTGATTGGGGTTGGACAAATCCTCAGCTTCATCCTTGCTGCCGTATGTGCCTTCCTCCTTGATGTAAAGGTCTTCCTCGGTGTGCGTTTCCACGTGGGCATTGAGCTGCTCAGAGCTCGGGAAGCCTTTGCCACAGGGGATACAGACATACAGGTTGTCACCGTAGGCCACTGGCTCAAACCCCTCCTGCCGGTAGACATAGTTGGCACTGGTATGGCCGCCGCTCTCACTCTCACTCTGGCCACTGTCGTCACTGTTCTCCTTACCGTTTTCTACCTCCTCCTTACACGGGTAGGGCAGGTCTGCCCCGTAGGCCCCGGCTAGACTCCTCTCCACAGACTTGGACAAGGGCCCCAGGAGGATACCATTGGGCAGCCCTTCACCCTCGTCCCTGTCTTTGCCCCCTTCCTTTCGGTCAAAGGCGTTGTCTTTCTTGATCCACTCCTTCTTGCGGGACGAGTGCCGGAGGCCCTTGCGCTGGCTGCTCTCTGTCAGTGAGTGGTGGCACTCCTCGCTCAGATCCATCTCCATGGGGTCGCTGCTGTCCGCCATGCTGTGGGGGGCTCCGACGCCAGACTCGTCGAACGATGAGGCACTGTTGGCTGCAGGGGCTGAGGCAGATTGGGGAGAGCCGTGCTGGCTTTCGCTGTGCTGCGTGTCATCGTGGGAGGCTGCGACAGGGAGCGAGGGGCTTTTTTTGGACAGGTCAAGGCCTAGCTCCTGGTCACCGGTGCTCCCATTCGCACTGCTGCTCCCACCACCGTTCTTGCTGGTTCCCCTGCTTAAGGAGTGACAGTTCTCTTGGTTGGAGCTGCTGATGAAGACCTCGTCATCAGAGAGCTTTCCCTTTGACAGCTCCTTTGAGTGCGAGCCCTTCAACCCCTCATTTGACCCTGAATAGCGAGCTTGGATGACTGAAGCAGTGGAAAGTCTCTGACTCCTGGCAGATCTCCCAACACCAAGGCCACCGGCCTTGCCAGCAAAGGACTTGCCGTTCCGCTTCAGCTTCTTTCTGCAGAGAGCTGCCAGGTCGTGCAGTTGGAGGTAGCTTGCTGCGGTGAGGAGAGCATTAAAGTTCTGTTCACCAGGCTGGTCAGTCGTTAAGAGCTTGCCAGTATAAATAAAGTCCAAGATCTGCCGGAACACGGTGGGGTTCACCATGTCCGTGTCTAAGTTTATCAGGTTGTCATGCAGGACAAGGGATTTGAAATACATGCTGCTGGCTGCCAGGATGTTCTTATGGGCACGAAACAGGGCATTTTCTACCACAATGATCACATCACAGAGGAAACCTTTGGCTCGTTGCTGGTTCAGCTGCAGTAGCAGTTGTTTGGCATGATTTGGCAGTTCCATCTCCACCTTCTCTTCCTCTCGCCTTCACCTTACCACCTGAAAAACAGGAGGATGAGAGGGGTGAGCTTGCTGTCTCCACTAGAACAGGTTACATTTAATAGACTGGTTTAACACAGTGCAGGCTATGTTAGGCTTTACACTGACTAGGGAGATCTGAGTACATTGAGCCCTGCAAGCTGTGATCCTGCTGGGAATACAGAGAAAAACATTTCTCATGCTAAGACTTGATTCAAGACTTTCAAAAATCAGATTTGTAATTATCTTTTTACAAAGGCAATCATCATTGGCTGGAATCACTATTCAAAAGATACCAGCATGGAAACAATAGTTAGGTACAAGGGAAAGCTCCTCTCTCCTGACACAGACTTGAAGGGAGGATGAGAAGTGAGAAAAAGTGGAAGAAAAGAGAAGCATCTACTTCACTGTCATTTGCATATCTGAGCATGTAAAATAATTAGCATAAACTGCAGCTTGCCTGCTTTAATGTGTGGTTTGTTTCTTGGCTGTTACATGTTGAAATCTTGTAACACCCAGCTGCTCTGGGGTTGAGAAAATGACATGTAGCAACTAAATCCATTGAAGATGGAATTACCCACACTGAGGTGTGAATGAGAAGCCTCCTTAAGAGTATGAAAAGCTGCTTTAAAAACCACTCCCCTGGCTGTGTCCATATCCCAATCCATTAACACGTAGGGTTAGAGTCAACCCTCAACTGGCTGAAATTCAGGATGCTGAGCTAGCTAAATATCACCACATGTCTTCATAAATCTGAAACATTTTCCTCAAGTTAATTTTGCTCTGTCTTTAATTTTGAAAGAATTTTGTTTAAAATAATAGAGTCGAGTAACATATCTCAAGTCAGTTTCTCTATCCTGAAATACTGTAACAAGAGGAAAATTGTGGTTACCTGCATATAGTTAACGCATTTTACAAACAGTAGTCATGATGTATTTTAGTTTAGATGTTTATATTGGCCTTCCCAGTAGTATGGACTGTAGGAAACACCCAGGTTGAGATATGTCAGAACTAACTGCAGTTGCACATTTGGTAGATGTTACAATCCATAAAACCCAGAATTCCATTTGGGACTGCATTTGGGAATCCAAGATCAATTTTAGTTTTTTTCCTTGTTTTTTTTTGTTTTGCTTTGGGTTTTTTACGTGTGCGTGTGTTTATTTGTTTGAAAGTGCCAACTACTACTTGCATTTATCCATTGAAGTTGATTTTAAATAGTTTCTGAAGTTCAAAAGGAGGAATTAAATACCAAATTAACAACAACCACAATTTAGCCTTCTACTTCCTTTCTTCCTTTCCCAGTTCATCATATTATTGAAACATTTCTCTTATTGAAGGAGAAGCAAGCCATAAATACAGAGAAATTAAGAGCTTAAGTTCTCTCTTTAAATCATCATCAGTTAATTTTTTTATTGTTTGTGAGTCCCACTACCACACTCTGTCCCATCAGAGTTCAAATGATGAAGCATTAGACTGCATTATGTTCTCTCTGTGCCAAGCATAGGTACACAACAAAAAGAAATAAGGAGTGATGCAGTTAGTATAAAAAATTGCTTCCCCCAAACCTGATTGTTACTATGTGATGATAAATAGAAAGACTGCATTTGGCAGAAAGGTGGTAAATTTACATCATCCATTTCTGCACAACAGAGAAGTTTTGCTTTATGAAAAAAAGCTACCAAAAAGTAAACAAATTAAATATTTCCTCAAGCATTGTTGCTCGACTACCCTGGTACTTTTCCTAACAGGTCTGCCAAGCAGGTGCCTCCCTTCTTCCACAGGACACAGCTCACTTGCCTGCTGGTCAGCCTGGTGCTTGCTTATGCTTTTGGTGGAATTTCTTGGTGGCTCTTCAGTGCAGCAGCACCTAATTTAGCATCCACACAGATCCCTCTGGCTCATCACCCTGACCCACAGCTAAAAAGGCTGCTCTGCTTTCCCATTTGATTTTGTTGAGCAATGGATGGCAACCCAAGAAGACGGTGGATTCACCACAGTGCCTTTGTGCTCATGGATGTTGCTCCCAGAGCTCGATGGCTTTAGAAAGGGTGGCAGCAAAAAGGACGAAGTACAGGCTTGCCACAGTGCTAGTTCCACCTATAGTGTTTCTGTAATAGCAACTCACCCTGCAGAATCAGAAAAATGTGATAGGACAGGGGCTCCTGTCCTCCACCGAGCAATGCTGAGCACTTAAAAACCAAGTTTTGATGTAATTAGTCACATCAGGGTTGCAGGATGGAGGATGAAGCATGTCTGGTTCTAGTGGATTGCTTCCAGAATTGCTGATTAAGGGGAAGAAGCAGCAGCACAGAAGCACAAAATACCCACTTTTATCTAGCCAGGCCAGTGAGAGCCCTTACTTCTGGGTCACCGAGATACATCGATAGGGGAGGACAAAAACATGGCTTGCAACTTAACAGCATCTTGCTATATAAATGCATCCTGCATTTATAGCAGGATACAGCCTAGTACTACAGATAGCAAGAAACAGCCTAGCACTACAATTTCACTGCAAACATCATGGTGCTTTTCCATGCATGTAACACACAAAATCCCTGGGTATGATTTTCAAGTGTTCCATAAAGGACAAATATGGGAAAGGAAGGGAAACAATACAGCCAATATTTTCTGCCTAAACAAAGTAGTAGTAGTAATAATAATAGTATGATGTTACTGAAGTTAAAGTGGGCTTATTTCCCACTGATGTAGCACTTAAAGCAGAGGTCTAGAAACCACTGTATTCAAGTTGTCTGAGCCTTAAGGCTTACAACAGCTATTAATGCAGAATATTTTTAGCACTTTATTTTTTTTTTTTTTCATTCTGCCTTAAATGATATTGAAACCAGGTAATGAGCCTGCAGAGAAAGCCCTGGAAACAGAGTTAGAATTCTAATTCTGCTACTGACCTTCATGAGAAAGATAATGTTATTACAACTGAGTATGTTCTGCAGCATAAAAACTAGCATAGTACAAGTTGTTTAAATTACCTCTATTTATCTCACATGTCAAATTTTACAGGACTGTTCATGTTCAGTAGGACATATGTACAAGGTAGGCTATTACCTTCAGTAGATTTCAAAATCAGTGGTCAGGTGCAAGCAGTATAACCGTGCCTTTTCAAATTTAAATTTGTTAGCTGAAGTCTAACATGGATTTAACAACCCCAAAAAATTAATGTAATGAATCAAGGCAGCAAAAACGTTGACCAAGCTTAGAGCATTGTGTTTAAAATGTTGTCAGAATTGCCCACCAAGGCCTTTGACCAGGACAGGAGTATGGCTCAGAGAACACTCCTTTGGCCAATGTCCCTTTGTTGACAAAAGCCTTATAGCAACCTGCCTTGTGTATCTTGTGCAATCCTCAACAAAAATAAATCCAATCCAGGTATTTCATAGAGATGCCTAGTTACAAACCCTGCTTTGACCATGATGCATGTCAGAGGTGGAGGAGGAAAGGTGTGTTGGAAAAGTTGTTAGCAAAAGAGAAGCAGGCATTATTCCTTAACTTATGGCAATCCTAGAATCTCACTTCTAGCTGAAAGCATGGGACCAAGGACAACTGTGAGTTTAAATCCTGTTTAAAAGTTATTTGCCCAAACAAATGGCAGGTGCAGCCTTAGAAAGGCCTTGCTATCCATTAGGTTGCAGAGAGTGTTTCTTAACAAACCGTAACATTTGAATAACAACACCACAACCCCCCCAAAGTTCTAAAAAATCACAGTGGGTTTATACTTCTTGTATTTCAGTATCATTTTTAATAACCCTTCCTTTTCTGTTATCTGAAACAAAAAAAAAAAAACAAAAAAAAAACCACCACCAAAAAAACCCACCAAAAAAAAACCCCAGAAAAAATATACTCCCAGTTCAGTGGAGCCCTGGTTCAGAAAAGGCTCAGGTGCCTTTCTAGTAAAAAATCCAACTCCCCAGACCTCAAAAATACATAAACGTCTCACTGGGGCCACAGTCTTTAAACCTTGAATGTGGTGTGCAAAATTTCAGCCGTTTGCATTTAAAAGAGGGTTACAGCAGGCTCTGGACAAATAGCAGCAGTAATGGTCTTTTTCCAGATTTAGCTTGGTTTTCTCACATTCAAGACACACTTTTTTCCAAGCAGTGAACCTGCTCAAATACTCCTATGCTAGAAGGGAATGAAACAAGGCTAAGGCTCTCCACTACCTCCACCATATCCATGACACTGAGACACAGCACATGCAAAGACATGAGAAGTACAGGGCACAAATCACAGAATACAGTAATGCTGCAAGCAGATGCCACACATGAAATAAAGCTTTGCAAGCTAAGAGCTGACAGCATCTTAATACACAATACTGCCCCAGGAGCTGGGTAACTGCGAGCTGCTGTGCCCAGCCTGGGGCACACTGTGACCCCGTGGGCAGCAAGGCTGTGCACAACACACAGGCTGCTCCTGGAGCTGTGCTGCTCTCACTACACAGCAGGAAAAACTTCATTTGCTCTCAGTTTGCACAAAGAGTCTGGACACCACAGAAAATGAAATTGCTAAATAGAGGAGAAGAGAAATCCCTTCACCCCTTTCAACAGTATAAAATCTACATATTCACTACAGGTTTGATTTTCTTTAATATCACTAAATCTCTACTTAAAAGTAATTGCTGAATGAATGCTAAATGTGTTATCATAGCAACCTCTGGCAGGAGATGCTATTTGATTTCATCTCTGAGTTATAGATTGCAGCACATGAATATTGTTTACCTTTTAAGAAGCAACACCAGTGAAGCAAAGAATCAATCATAAACAGATCTAAGGAATCACTCATTTCACGTAGAGGATTTGTGGCTGGATGAGAAGGCTAGACACCAAGCACCTGAACAGTGAGTTAACAGTACTGCAGATAAAAACCAACAAACAGATTAGATGTGATGTATCAAATTAAGATGCTGTTAAAACATCAGCCTACTGTGCATGTAATAATAGACCCAGGAAAAGACAGTGGCCTGCTTACTTATTTCTCCACCTTCCCAAGTAGTTGAGCCGCACTGAGCAGACACTGCAGCAGTGAGCATGGAGAACAAGACAAAACGAAATCCACTGTTTCCTACACTGCTCTCTCCCACCAGTTTATGACATTAAAAATGCTGTGTCCAGCTGCTACTGGAACTGAGTGAAACTGAAACAGATGACTTCTGCATCCTTCAGTTTCAGCTGAACCAACTTTTTTTTTGAGCACTTAATGACCCCATTGGGAAGAGAGCGTTCCTGCTCCCCACTGGCTCATCTGATCTTCCTTTCCCCACATCCCAACAGAACCAGGACCTTCAGAGGTGTCACAGTGGGTGGTTCACAGCCACTGACCTGCCCCCAGGAGCTGCACCTGGCAGGACATTAGCCCAAGACTTTTAAAGGTATTCACATTCTAGAACAGCAGAAGCATGGGGAGAAGTGCTGGAACTATGTTAGTCCAAATGGTTCCCTATCCTCAGCCCCTTGGAGCAGTCAGACAGCAGAATTCAGAAGCTGAGGCACAAACATGCATTTTCATCACTGGCAGTGGAGCAGCAAAAACTCTGTGAAGAAGGCTCAAGCAGAAAACAGGATGCAGCACCCTTGTTCTTCTCACACAAATATTTAGCATTTTAAAATAGCTAAGACCAACATGTGAAGTTACTTGGGCAGAGGTCTGCAGAGCTGGGGAAGGGAGAGAAAACATGCAGGACAGATCAGGATGTGCAGCTGATTTTGCAGGTGTGGGCATGGAAAAGAGAAGGAAAATGGAGGATGTAGGATCATTTTGCAGAAGATACCACATCAGCAAACTGGAAGTGGCCCTTGTTTAATTTGTTACATTCCAATTAGTGCCAGGCAGAACTGCCCTCCTGGCTCCCCGAGGCAGCTCTTGCAGGACTCCTGCAGAAATGGCACAGCTTTGCTTAAGGACAAGAGCACCTGTCTTGTATCTCTGTGCGGCAACATTTGGATATTTGGGACATGGGCAATACCTGCTCAACTGCTACTAGCTCCTGGCCCAAAAAGGAGATAAAAAAAAAGAGTGAGATGATTTCCCAGTCCCTTCTCTCAGGTTCTAGAATAACAAGGAGAGCCTGACATGGCTAAGCCCTTCTCTACTGCATGGCAAACTTCCTAGGGAAGGGGAATCTCCATGGGTGAAAAGGGTAGGGGCTCTGTGTGCATGAACGCACTAAAATCAGGAGAGCAAAGTGATTTCCAGTCAGTGCAAGGCTGCAGCAAAGCAGGAACACCTTGCTATACAAGCTGAAACTGTGAGCAGTAGAACGCAGATTTAACCGCTTGGTTGCCGCTTACCATGCCAGGTACATTGGGCTAAAGGCACCTCCATCCAGTGCTGCCCGACGTGCCAGGTACATCCCATGATGTTCCATTGAAATCACAACAGGCCATCAATAGAACGTGGCTGCACGGATGCAGAATGGAGAACCAGCAGGGACGCTGTTAAATGCAATTAAAATACTGCAATCAAAATTGAAACGTACATTTTAAAACAGCCACCTGCCTTAAATATGTAACTGCTAGAACAACCTCCCCTCCACCCACTTCCCCACAGCTGTTGAACTGTGACAGAATCAGAACAGGACTCTGCAAGTTTCTTACTGATGCTCCCTGGCCACTTACATTCATGACCCCCAATAGCACTGAGTTTCAGGGGGACCAGTTCACATGTATCTAAAACCAGCAGATCCCAGGATGTCTGCATCAGCTTCCTTCTGCCCAGAAATTCAGGCAATGAAATACTACCACCACATAGAAATGCCTCTATGACAAGAACAGCCTGGTGCCAGCGCTTTATGGTCTCATTCCCAACATAGTACAGGCAGCAGAAGAAACACTTCAAACCTGATCCGCTGTGCTGTCCCCATTTCCCTGTCCCACTTCCCAAGCCTTTGAAAATATCTTCTAGAGATGTTATGGCACTGGACCAGGCTGGATACTTCAGTGCAAGGTGGGAGAAGATGACACTGTATACCCTCTCCTATTTATAATGATGCTTCACTGATAATTTCATCTCCATTCTTGGAGACTGGAGATCAAGTTGATCCACAGTGAACTGCAGCTTGTATGAGCGTCGCAAAACTTAAGATCTATAATTCCACACTCCCCTGCCCAAAGGAAAAAGCAACATCATCTTTTCCATGTCAGGGAAAGGCACATATCACAGCCACCCTAGGTTTGACAAGCTGCTTGTATCCTCTGCAGTGCATATCCTTCCCACAAAGTTCCTCTAATCAGCTCCAGCGGGATTATCATGGAGCAATCTCAGGATAGATGCTAAGAACAGGTTCCTTTCTACAAGTGGTGATGCTGCCCCAGTGAAAACAAACAAACAAAGCCCAAACCCACCAAAAACCAGTACAGAAATCAGCCTGCAGCCTGGCAGGGTTTTAACATGGGTTTTTAGACCCTTATGGTCTAAAGTGAAACATGTGCATAGCTTTTATCACATTGATGGCTGCATGTCTCCAGCTGTGTTTCTGGAGATAGAAATCTTACATTTAAAAAGCGAGAATACTATTGATTATCAGCCTTAAAAGATAAAAGGCCAAATGAAAAAGACTTATAATACTTAGTGTTGAATGAGAGAGAGCATAAAGAATGACACAGGCTTGAGAAATGGAATGGGTTCTCATGAAAAGGACAGAGAAGATAGTTCATTCTTCCTGAACATCTGCTGGGCTTAGGCCCAGGACAGTGCTCCCATCATTCCCACCTGCACACTTATCCCCACAACTCTGTAACCAGACCCCTTTCACACTGAAATAATAGATCTTTTGTATTCAGATCACCCTGTTTTGACTGCTGTAGGCTGAAGATTTTTAAATCTTGTCAATACAATAAAGAAGTGAAATGTAAGCAACTGTTTGCCTACTGACCTGGGCTGTGCTCAGCCAAGAGCATTTGCTGAACTAGTCTGAACAGACCACTGCCAGCATGAACAGGCCAACCCACAGTTAACTACCACACTTAAAGCATCACAGGCCAGAGCCCCAGGAATTTGGAGCTCCCCCCTCTCCAGAAGATCACGCTCTGCACAGCATTAGAGCAAGCTGAACTCTGGCTGCATCTCCCAGCACCACAACTCTGCAAAACCCTCAGCAATACCAGCAATTCTCAGTTTAACACAGGCTGAATGCTGCATAAAGGTATTTGTCAAACAGCAGCTCAAACATGAGGTTTTTCCCACCCAGATTGCAATTAAATTTGCTTCTTGCTGCTGTGAAGCAAGAGCTCTTCTCCATAGTTGTATTTCCCCTCTAGGGCAGAGTTTAGCAGAGAACTGCTTCAACCAAAGGTGTTTCCTACTGTTAGAACATCTCACTGCAGTCAGAAATGAAGCTTCCTGCCAACTCCTAAAAAGAGTGCTTGTATCTTACACATTTATTGTCACTGCTGACACATAGGAGTCTAGGACTACCCAAACCTCTGCTGGGAGTAGAAGGGGAGAGGCATGGACATTGCAGAGCTTGTCAGCCAGAGTCTGGCATTAAAAATTCCTGGATATCTGCAGAGCACAGCTGATCTCAGGAGCAGAGCAGTGGCACAAAACAAAGCCACTTCAGAAGCTTGTGACAACTTAGTAACCAGCAGTAGACTCTGGGCTCTTCCTCTCATCCTACAACTGATCAAACTCAGTTTTAGTTGTACCTGCATCGCAAATAGTAAAGGCAACTCCAATGTCCAATACTAATCTCATTTAATTCATTTATTTCCTCCCTATTGCACAAAAATAACAACAACATATTGAATGAAGTAGCTCAAAGGCCCCTTTGGTATGCAAAATTTCTGTTTCCCAGCCACCTCTGAGTCCATACAGAATTCTCTCTTTCTAGTGCAAGAATTTAGGACATGACTAAAGGATCGTTGTTACCTCCCAGTTAATCCTAGAGAGTGTCAGTCTTGGGCCCTGTCCCTCAGTAAGGCAGGCCACTTGGCAGGGGGTGCATGGGGTGGCAGCCTCATGCCGAGCATCGCTCTGAGGGCAGGAGCACACCCAGCACTGCGGAGAAGGAGGAATGTCACGACCCTCTTCCAACCAAGACTGTCCTACAGGACACTCCCAGCTGCAGCACGGCTTTAGGGCTCTGAGTCACCACAGGTACAAGCTGATAGCAGGTTGTGAAATGCAGTAACACAGGAGCAAATGCATGACCCCTTCAACTGACCCTGCAACTGGGGAGGGATCTCCAGGACAGGGATGAGGCAGGCAGCTGGAACTAGTGACTGTGACTCAGACTCCTTAGTTACACGATTTGTTAGAGCAAACAAAGCCTCAGAATACTAGGAAAAATGGGAACAGGTTTGATAAAGATCCTCCCAATTGGCCTGTTTATTTTCATTTCTTGTGTGGACTCAGCAGATGTTTCTGCAGAGAGATGCAGTCTGCACAGGAGCATCTGCACACACAATACTGCTAATCTCATGAGCTTGCAATAGTTAACAGCAAGTTTCCGTGCTAAGGGGTGTAGTAACTGTGCTGGACCAAAATGTCATCTCTCTCACCATGAGCCAGAGCAGTGGTGAGCACAGGGCGCACAGAACAAGCATTGCTGTCTTGTTTTTTCCAGTAAGAAAAAACCTCATTCCCTTTACCCATATCTGTAGATCCAGCAACGGTTCTTAATATGAATGATACCTTAAATAGAGCACTTTTAGCACTTTCCCACATTTTTTTCTTTGCTTTTCCCCAAAAAAATGACCATACACAGCCCTGTACTTAGCAGAGATATCTTTGGTTTTAAGTTTCACTTTGGTGAAGTCTTTCAAGCAAGCCACTATAAGAGCTGGTCCCAGCAGTATTAGGACTGTACTGCCTACCAAACATCCCTCCAAGTCAGATGCTTAACCCATCACCCAGAATCCTTTGTATTTGATTCTTTGCAGCCACCAAGAAGTATCAGCACATCTGAGCCTGGCAAATGAGAGGAGGCCAGAAAGCCACTATTGCTTGTAAAAGCAGAAGGCCTAACAGACTCAAAGTTCTGCACACTGCCTGCATCCAAATCTCTCCAAGCTGAAGATGACCTAATGGGAAAGCAGAGTTTACTCACTTTCAAAATCCTTCATTTCTTTGCCTGCTTTTCCTCAACCCCTACTTCTTTTTTTTTTTTTTTTTACTGTTTTATTCCTCTGACTTTTTCACTTGAGACTTCAAGCATTATTTAAACTCAGTTCACAGACCGCAGGGACGTCACTCTATGCATGTTTCCAAAATCCACCTCTTCCCAGCAAGGCTCCCATCCTGCTGGCTTTGTCCTGCAGCCCTGCACAGCAGTGGTCCAGGGCTGCAGATACCTCGGGCACATTTGGCCAGCCCTCCCTGACAGACAGCTTCTCAGCCTGGGGGATTACAGCCCCAGGCTGTTATGAAAGGCAGCCCAGTAAGGTCATGGGGTGTTGAAAACTTTGCTACAGTCCAAAGCACAGGATCTTCCTCCTTTCCTTCCCTACACACTATTCTTGTCAAGGCCAAGGATTTCCTGGCAGTCCTCAAAGTACACAAATTATAGGCTTTTGTCATGAATTAAGACTTAAACTTTTCTTCAAGAAAGTAGAAGGGGTGGAGCAAAGCAGGGGGAAAGGTACTTTTGCCTTAGATTTGGTTTTGAAAAGGGGATTGACAGCCTATGTATGTGCTTTACCCTGTAATCTGAAAGCTCATCAGGACAGGACCCTTAAAAGTATTTTATGCTGAACCATTTACAGAGTAAGAGAACCGGCAGCTCCCTGCATCCGTTCCAGTCTGCTCAGCTTCTCCTAAATCAACACTGCCAGAAGGCAAGACAGCACTATAACAAATTAGCACCGCTCACAATTTGTTGAAGTTGCTGTTGCATTGTTTGTTTATTTAAAACACGCGCAAGCACACACACACACACAGAGGCCTCCCGAGCCTGCTCTCTGCTGCCATCCCCCAAACTCCACACTTGCAGTCTCAGAGAGGCAAGCAAAGGCTGTGGATTAAACCCATGCAGAGCTACAGCCACTGTGCTGGGACACTGCTTGGGTTTTGCTCTTTCACTACAAGCAAAACCAAAGAATGCCCACAGTATTTCAGCCTGGAACATCATGCAGTAGAAATCCTTATTTTGGCACCTGACTAGGGAAGTGTTAAGAAAAAGAGCCACAGGCTTGAAAGGACCCAGCGCTAATAAAACTCTTAGTGCTAATGCTATTTATGAACATCCAAGGGATAATCTGCACCCCTTATCAGCCCACAAGATTATAAGATCTTTAAAATAGGAAACATGTCTTACTTTATAAAGTACTGTATAAGTTTACAAAGCACAATATTAGTGGTAATAAATAATTGTCAAAGTTGAGCACAGAGGTGGCTGTAAAACCTGAAGCACCATCACTGTTCCCATTTCATTCTGAGCTCTGTGTGGTAGCACTGTACATTCTTCCCTAAGAATGTACAGTGCATGCTTGTGCTG